ATTTTGGGAGTGAAATGGGTGATGTCCTGATCCGTACCTGAAGTCACTAGTTCGTGTGCACGATGTTCGCCTCATGAAGGTTGAATTTACAACGAGATGTAACCCAACTTTTTCTAACTTTTTTATTAACTGTACCCGTAGGCTGTTCTTGACAAGAGACAAGCCATGTCAGTAGAAGGAGCGGAGCCTAAGAGGAAACTTGCAAAGGATCTTGAAAACGAACTGGGTGAAGATTATTACATGGACTTGCGGCAACACTGGGACCTTAAGAAAGATGAGGAAAAACATGACATTGTACCCGAGATCTACCTTGGAAAGAATGTGGCCGACTTCATCGACCCCGACATCATGAAGGTGAAATGTGTTATTTTTGGATGATTTATTAGTTAGGAGACTAGTAAGGCTGGTCTAGGTGTAATTCTTTACAAAAGTACACGTACAGTACGAGTTGCAGGAATAGCAGCATTACACGCGCGTTTCATGCGTGTAAATCCGCCACATTGCGCGCAATTTACACGCAAATTACACCGCGTGAGTGAAAGAAATACGCGAAAATGCGTGTAAAAAATTAGACACTAATTTTTCATAGTGCGTGTAAAATTTTACGCGCAGAGTTTCGTGTAAAAGAAGGCAGAGTATTCACTGTTGTATATTTATTATTAGCAGAAAATGTTGCATGTCTAGTAGCACTGCTGACTTTCGAAGAATTTACACAAGTTGAACTTTGAATTTTAATATTCTCGTGAAAAGTGTCCACTTCGGTTGATTTGTTAGCGGAGTTGTCTTTTTCAAGTGGCATGAGGTACGAGTGAAGAGGATGTCGACACACGATACTTGCAAGGAACGAGTGTCGCTTGTCGAGATCCTCCACAACCTATACTCTACGTTTAGTCGAGTCGATGATTGAGACTTTGAGTCTGAAGGAAATAATGAGCAAACTGTTGATGCATTGAATAAGGACTGCTTTCAACTTACCAACTGGTTCGAGACAAACAGGTGTGGAGAGCTTTTGTTGCTGTCCTACAAACCAGAGGGCATTATGGGCAAGATAGATAGATCAACTGACCAGAATGAAAATTGTTTCATTTAAGTAATGGTAAATCCAATCTATTCCATGCCGTGATACCTGGTTATTAGAGCACTTGACACTCCGCATTTGAGCTTGCGCTCCAAAGTATACTGAATTGCTATTGAGTTTTACAATACTTTCTTGCCAATTTGTGTCGTTTGTTGCAGAAACTGGAAGAGTTAGAGAAAGAAGAAGAACTGCGTGAAGCTGCAGGACTTTACGACTCAGAGCCGGTCAGTAACTGCCACAGATTGTTTTGATATTCACAGACTGCGCAGTTGGTGAAATATTTCTCTACCGTAATAAAATTAACCCTACATGAGAATTCTGTTATCGAGGAAACCGAATTAACATTAGACAAAGCCTTACTTTAGAGACAGTTCTTTAGTTTCTCTTGAGTGGTTTTTTTGTTCCTTTTTTAGATAACTAATTTTTCAATTTTTTTTTCTAGGAAGAATTAGACTCTGAACAAGAGGAAATCAGAAAAACAGCACAACAGTGAGTTCTAAGATTATTTTTTTTATTGTCTACTTTTTCATTGTTTTATTTCAAATTATCGATGTATCGGCACGAATTCTTAACTCTGTTTTTATGGGCTGATATGAAAGTTTTGATCGTGGCAAGGCGAAAGTTTGAGGTCGATCTTCATACCTTTTGTAACGTGGAAAAACTACAAAATAGTATTGATTACAAATCTTAATTCGTAGCTTCCAGCAATGGATT